CCTTGCCTTCGGCCCTGGCCACCGTCTTGGAGCTCTCGAGGATTTCATTAAAAGCCTCTTGCTCAGCTTTGCGAGCTTCCTCGGCCTCTTTGAGCTGCCTTCGGGCCTCAGCCAATGCTTCATCGGCTTTCTTCTTCTCCGAATCATACTGCTCTATCCTCTGGACCAGCTCGCCAAGGCCAAGGCTTGCCTGAAAGCAAACATAAATTACCGGAGGTTAAGTCACTACACACGTAAAGAATTAAGTTACCTGCAAAAGAGAAGGAAGGAACCTTACCGTAACCGAGGCCATCAGAACCTTAGAGCAGAAGACATCATCGGCTTGGCGGGAGAGCACAGACTTATCGGTCGGAGGGGTGGCACCCCTCAAAAACTCCTTCGGGTTCAGGGTCCCGTGCATGATAGCAGTCCCCTTCGTGATGGAGAATTGGATTTTGTCCTGGGGCCATGTCAGACCAGTGGCTTGACCCGAAGGCTTTGGGGGAGAAGTTTCATCTACGACCACAACGGGGGCTTCCTTCAACTCCGGGGCCCCCTTCTTCTTCTTCTTCCCCTCCGGTTGTGCCGGGTCCTTCCCAAGTCTCTTCCTCTTCGGCTCCAGACCGGGGGAGCCTCCGACGGCGGTCTCCACGACGGGCCCTACCTCCTTGGCCTCTTCGGCCGCTCCTGCCTTAGGGAATATCTCGTCGACCGCCCTCTGCTGTGCGGGGGCCTCCTTCTTCTGGTCTTCCTTGGCGAGTTGCCTCTTCAGCTTGACAAGGTTCCGGGCGTCCATATTTGGTCCTGAAACACAAGAAGGCACACAAGGGTTAGTTTACTACTACAACAAAGCGGAAAAAAAAATCTAAGTATGAAAATTAAAGCCCTCGGCATTGCAACAACCTTCGGCGCTCTCATATACGCGATCAATCGTGGGGTAGCCTTCCTCTTTCTCCCCCATCAGCCGGTACCGACGGAAGCCAAACTTGTACAACTCACTGGAGAGCGTTGCGCCTTTGATGGACACGTGCTTATCGGACCCCTCCGGTTTCTTGGACAACACCCGCCCATTTTTCTCGAGGGCATACCCTTCTGCCTTCAGGTGCCGCCGAAACCTATCACCAAGCGGAGCGGAGAAAGGGTTCTCGGCCAGACGGATGTAGCAGAACTTGTCTTTCCACCCCTTGTGAGACGAAGGCGCCTCGTCGAAAATCCTGAACTTCGGGACCTGCTGCAAATTACCATAGCCCCCGGCATTCGAATGACCCCCCCCCCCCCCCGACACAAGTTGAACGACAGAAAGAATTGCTCCAGAGTAGGGGAGACCTTGCGGCTGAGGCACAGCGACAGGAACCCTGCCAGGTATGAGTGACTGTTCGGGGTCAACTGGCAGAGGGCTAGCTTGACGAAGCGTAGGTATTCCAACACGAAGGGATGAAGGGGAAATCTGAGACCCAGCTCCACTGAAAGCTGATGTACGGCAAAACAGCCCTCGGGGGCACGGAGGAGCACATCATCCGGCTTTGGCTCTACCACCTGCGCCGAAGGTCCAACCAAAAATTGTGCCGCCATCATCTCCCCTCAGGTAGCTTTGTTTTTGACCTCCAAGGCGGCCGTATTCAGGAAAGAATAGCCCTCGGGCAGTCCCACTGGCTGGCCAGCGTCGACGGCAGCTTGCTTCTTCTTCGGAGCCGTCCTCGTCTTCTTTCTCTTCTTCCCTGGGGCCACACTGAGGGGTACGGCGTCAAGAGGCCGGGAGCTCCCAGCTTCGGTATCACGCCGAGGAGGAGGGATAGCTACAGTCACCTTCAGGCCCTCCTTCTGGGCCTCGTCCTCGGCCACCTGACAGGCGATGGCAAGCTCTTCATCCGCGTTCACCTGCTCGAAGTCTTCGGCCTCGAGTTCAAGCCGAAGGTCACCCTGTATCGCCTCGGCTACGGCCCTGTCGTCGATGACCGAGAGCTGCTCGCTTGAGGATTCCACGTCAGACGCCACTTCGATGTTCACTGAAGCCTCCCCGGAGATGTCTTGGGAATCACTAGCTGACGACATTACTTCTAAAAGGCGAGGGGTCGAAAAATTCGTACACAGAAGGGTTCCTGAAGGGTCCTAAAGCCTAACCCTAAGGCCAAAAGCTAAGTACTCAAATAGAGCTAAGGACAGAAGGAGAACTAACCTCTGAGACTTGGTTTGACCGAAGGCCGGAGTTTCTCTCTCTAGAAATTTTGGCAGAGCTTCGCTAACAGTATGATCGCACAAAGGCGAATGGCCTTGGCCGGGGGTATTTATAGGCGCCCAGATCCGGGCTTGGGCCCAAAAAATCGGGCCCCCGGCAAAAGGTCATCATTACACGCCGCGTCTTCGCCCAACCGGTGACGCCGCCCACGGGCAGCCAACCATCACGCGCCACGTGTACTCCCCCTCCAACGGTCACATTACAACGGCTATATTCTGGGAACCTGGAGGTACGCCCTCGGGTAAACACTCCTTCATCAAATAAAGGGGTAGTCCCCGGGCTTCCCTCCTTCGCTCCACCTCACAAAGGGGACCCCCCGGGCTCACAACTGGTGGACCTCTCGGGTATCCTCCCCCCTACAACACATTAATTTCCGGGCAGCCCCCGGGGAATATCACTTCATCAACAAGCGCGCCCCCGGCACGCAGGAAACGGGACCCTTCGGGTGCTCCCCTCATCAGCTAAATAATAAAGGACGTGAAGCCTTCGGGATCTTCACAGCTACTATTTACGTTTATCACGCCCTCAGTCCCATGGATTGAGGGACTCTACTTCGACGCCTCCCAGAATATCAACGACGCGCCTTCAGCAATACAACAAGGAGCCCTCAGAACAAGGAGAGCCCTCGGCATTACCATTATTCTCCATTTTGAGCCAAGGTTTCACATTTTCGATTCATCGTTGGGGGAATCCGGTGCACTCTTTTTCCCTCATTAGGATTTTTTTCCCACAGGGTTTTTCCTAATGAGGTTTTTAACGAGGCATCCCCCCAAAATGAAACGAAAAGCGTCAGCCTTCGGCCCGCAACAGCAACGCAACTGCTTCACTCCTTTTCACCACTTCGCAAGTGCCTCAAGGAGTGGGGGACTGGAGGACCCCTTCGGGAAAATCATTAAATTACAAAATGGTGAAAAATTCCAACAAACGGCAAAAGCAATCCCTCAAGTCCCGACATGTGGGTAACTGAGGGACTGCCTTCGGCAGGGACATGCAAACAACAACTCCTCACCAACTTCAGAGATTACAATGGGACAACATCAAAGGGCAAGCACAAATTACTCCTTTTCCCTCAAGTACCTTTCGGCAAAAGGAGTGAGGGACTCCTGATGGAGTATATGGCCCGGGAATCCCCGGCCCACAAACTCCTACTACACCAATAAAGGCCCAACCGGCCCAGGAAGCACAGCAGGCCCAAATTACGGCGCCCCAAGCACTTAGCAGCCCACAGCGCACACTGGGGAGCCTTCGGCCCCCTGGCTGAAGGCTCAAATCTCTCACAGAACGGGGTTTTCAAGCAAACTAAGAAACTGGGAGGAAAACGGCAAAAAAACAGTAGCCCTCGGCATTAGCGTGCCCTCGGCAACAGAGAGCCTTCGGCAACTACTATACGGCCGAAGGCAGCTCGCACGACAGGATCCTCCCTCCACGCGCATCTGGGTCACCGTACCAAGTACGACGTCCCATCCAACAGCCGCATTAAATGCGGCCACATGCGGTTGCCAGTGCCAACCAGTTGAGGTGACCTCTCGGCCAATGGACGCTTGACACGTGTCCCTGTCCGGCATTTATTGCTACTATAAATAGCACCCCATTTCCCCATTTGTAACCACGCTGAAAACGCTCCACTCTTTATAATATACTCTCTCTCTCTATACTTGCTTGCTCTGACTTCTCTCTTGTTATTCCTCGTGATAACCCCTCGGATAAGCTACCCCCGGGTACACTATCCATCAGTTACATTCATAACAATTGACAACACATAACATGTTGTCTGTCCAGACAAACAATAGTATGCATAATTTATTTTCACAACATTCTTGTGGACATTCACAAATACAATCACATGTCTAACACGTATACACACTTTTACATAAAAACAACATTCACTATGAAAACATACTACAAAACACTCTTTTACCAATACTTGCATGTCCATACAGACGTTATTTCTACGTAGACAAACAAATTACATTGTCTGTGAGACAGACATTTTACATATGGGTCAAACAACAAACCTACTATGTTTCAGTAGACCGACACTGCACTTATAACTACTATGTTAGATAGACACCCCTTTTCATATCCCAAATACACACAAAAATCAAGAAAACAAAATCAAGAAAATCAAGAAAACAAAACCAAGACAACAACACATACTCAAGCCTTCGACCTCTGGACCTTGTTCATCGTCTTCCCTCGACCTAGCATCTAGTTCGCCGGAAACCGGCGTACAAGCATCATCTTCACCTTCATCACATAGCTCTCCAAAAATCATGTTATCCAAGAGTAAGCCATCAACCCACTCGGATGTATCATTCCCGTTTAGCTCCATTGAAGAAGAGTTTCAACGGAGAAGATGAAAGATATCACTTCTCCGATCAATGTAGCTCTGGTTGGTTCCGATTTTTTGGCGGAATGGTTATGCGCAGGGGAGGGCTGTGAGAGGGTTGAATTTTTGGAGGGGGTAAATGATGGTAAAAATATGGGCTTTTTATATGAGGTACCAAAGGTGTACAAAAATGGTGTACACCTAGCAAAATTGCCCTTATTTTGACTTATTTTGATGTAAAATGCTAAAGGTACCCTAAAGTTGTACCCTATTTTTGACTGTTCAGCTTTAGCTGCTCAGCTTGACCAGACCCAAAATTGCCCTTATTTTGACTTAAATGGAGCATCACTTAAATGAGTTGCCCCATTTATGATCATACATTAGGAGTGAGATAAAAATGAGGTACAACTTTGGAGTACCTTTAGCGTAACTCTATTTTGATAGATTCCATAGAAATGCAAATGCTATGTGAATTCCTACGGAATTGGGGACACCCTTCAAATATGAACGCATAAGTTGCAGCTTGACCAGACCCGAAACTGTTGAAGACCCCATCATCGTCTTGAGGAACTGTGAGTCTGTGATCAGAATCCCAAACCCACGATCGACGATGTCGACAGCGGAGGTAGCGAATGTTCTTACCGGGGCAGGAAGAGAGGACAGCTGCTCAGCGAAGCCTACAAAGCAAGGAGAAGGCCTCAAGCAGTACTACTCGCAGCACATCCACGATCTCCAGCTTCAAGTCCGCCAAAAGAGTCACAATCTCAATCGCCTTGAAGCCCAGCGCAACGAGCTCAATTCTGAAGGTCAGGCCACTAATAATCACATGCATTTGAAAGCCCTAATTTTTGCCACCAATATTATGCTAGTGTTATAACTACAAGTAATGATTTCATAAAGTTGTGCTATAATATGTAAATTTACAAAATATGTGCATAAAAGAGCCGTTGTTTTGTGACTTTTGTCTTTACCTTACACTGGTGTAATGTGCTATGACGGACATGTAACCTAGACCTTGATTTCAATATGAGTGTCACTTTTGCTACTACAAAGTTAGAATTTTATTCAGTATCATTCGATTTTGCTATGATGCTATCTACTCTGTGTACATATCGTGCATTGCGCTAATGTTTCCATGTATTTGAGCTTGATTTCAGTATGAATGTATACGTGGACATTAGTACTGGTTAGGCAAATACCATTTTTTGAACACTGTTATTAATGGTGTGAGGCGGTCAGAGTCCCAAAAGGGTCTCTAGTACAAGGTGTGCCTGAATCAGGCACCTCATATACACCAATATACTATAGGTAGCTTCTTCCATGATAATTAACCAATAAAGTAACCTGACAAGTTCCGGTAACCCTTCCTTAAACATGTTTTTTTCATGAAATAAATCTAAATAGAATGATGAGAATGTTCATGATGAACATGTTAACATGATAACAATCTCATAATAGAACATGACTATAACAATGATGTAAACTCATTGAGTAGTCGCTGACTCGCTATTTCATATATTTTCCATGCAAAACCTATGATGCAAAAACTTTTGGAATTTCATCACTTGATTCCTTAAAAAGAAGGCTGTAGCAAGAACTTACGGTGTAAAACTTTGTCATCATGCCTTTTGTATGGATCTATAGTGAACTAGTTCTACAATAATTGGCACCAAGTTTATCAGAAGTTCATAACTAGACCAGTTTTCGGACCACTTATCAGGTGTTCGGTGGTTGGAACGGTTAAAATAAATTAATATTTTTTTAAATACCCCCATCCAATTGTTTTTTTATCACTTTCAATTTTGTGTTGTCACTTTCAATTTTGTGATTTCCTTGACTAGTAGAAATACCACTGATTTCCTTGACTAGTAGAAACACCAGCTGATGAGTTGTGTACTTTTGTTTGGTTATTTTAATTGAGCAGTGAGAATGTTGAAGGAAGAGTTACAATTGCTACAGGAGCCTGGATCTTATGTTGGTGAAGTTGTCAAAGTGATGGGCAAATCAAAGGTTTTAGTTAAAGTAAACCCCTCCTCCTTAAGTTGGTATCAATTGATAATATCAATATGTTTCTGTGTGTGTATGTGTTATTCTTTGTCTCTCGTCTTATATTGTGGTGCAGGTACACCCTGAAGGCAAATATGTGGTTGACATTGATAAGAACATTGATATAACAAAGATTACTCCCTCTACTAGGGTTGCTCTTCGCAATGATAGTTATGTTCTCCATCTGATATTGCCTAGCAAAGTGGATCCATTGGTCAATCTTATGAAAGTTGAAAAAGTTCCCGATTCTACTTATGACATGATTGGTGGTCTTGATCAACAAATCAAGGAGATTAAGGAGGTTGTCATTTTTCCACACCTATTTGTGTGTCAATTTAGTTTGTAATATTCCATCATTATTTACGAGTACTAATAACACATATTTTGTATTTTACATAGTTGCAAATGGATTTGCGTGTTTTGATCTTTTAAATTATAAATTTCAGGTTATTGAGCTTCCTATTAAACACCCTGAGTTGTTTGAGAGTCTCGGAATTGCTCAACCAAAGGTAGCTTAGTCAAGTAATTGCAATTTGCATGTTTAATTGGCATGTTATTTGTTCACCACGAATGCACATTCTTATCCTGTCTATTTTTTTGTCAATGAACAGGGAGTTCTGCTTTATGGACCCCCAGGTACAGGGAAAACATTATTGGCAAGAGCTGTTGCACATCATACTGATTGTACCTTCATAAGGGTATCTGGTTCTGAACTCGTGCAGAAATATATTGGAGAAGGATCTCGAATGGTGAGAGAACTATTTGTTATGGCCAGGTGTGTTCTATATCTAACATTTAAAACTAAAAATATTTTGTAGCTTTAAGTGCCTTACCGATTGCAAATAGTAGTTTTGGGTGAGTGGAAAAGGGTTTATCTTTTCTTTGGTACACTTTGTGTCAAAGTCAAACAAAAAGCACCAGCAGTCGGGGGAAAAAGAGATGTTTTATAGTGGAAATGTGTTCGAACATTTAATTAGTTATGCCAGAAAATGTTATCACTTCTTTAGTTTGGATTATCTTTGGAATAAAGGGAACATATGCGTGAGACAATTACGCATCCCCATGAAATGCGTTTTGCAACTAGCATTAATTGAGTTTTAGTAAAACAATTTTTTTGAATTTCCTCATTCTAGTAAACAATATCAAATTTAATCATGAGACATGGTATGCATATTGATACAATGCTTTATACCAATTGAGCAGGGGCATCAAAGAAACTTGGCTGTGTTTTGCTAAAAAAACTAAGAACTAATCATCGGCTGCCTTATAAAGTCAGTTTCACTATTTTGGAATTTTAGGTGCTCCAAGCATCATGAGTCATAACCAGTGGACACTGTGTTGTGTTAAATAGTCATATTCGAGTTTTTCATATCATTTACACTTCAGATGTTCAGAAGTCTCATATGCGTTATTTCAGGCTTTTGCTATATTGTTGGTCCATCTTAAGTAATCCTGTTTTATTGTTCTGCAGAGAACATGCCCCGTCTATTATATTCATGGATGAAATTGATAGCATTGGATCTGCTAGAATGGAATCAGGAAGCGGCAATGGTGATAGTGAAGTGCAGCGCACTATGCTGGAGCTTCTTAACCAACTCGATGGATTTGAGGCATCAAACAAGATCAAGGTTATTTGAGAGCAGGAGCTTTATTTTGTCTGTGTTTGTTGTGTGCACGTGCGTGCATATATATATGTGTGTGTGCATATGTATATATATGTATGTATTCATGGTAGAACCTCTATATAAGAATAGTCTTGGGACCTAACTAGTTTTATTCTGATTGAGACGTTTTAACTGGATAAAGTATTAGTACCGAAAAAGTTTTGAATACCCAAAAGGCCAAAAGTATAAACTTTTACAATAATAATAACCATTTAAGAACTCCCTATTCCTTAATAGCATGTACAGAAGAAATGATGTCACTTGTAATTTGGTGAGGTAATTAGGTTGTGTGCACAGCTTTATGTAATGTTCAATATAGAAAAAGTAGAGAAATATAAAGTACATGTTTAAACTAATTTGCATATTTTTGAGTATATTTGAGCATGTACGGAGACATTATAGAAATATAATAACTTTGTTTTCACATTTGTTCAAGTAACCTTGAGTCCTTACCAATATGCATTGATTTTTTGCACATAAACACACATCTATAGAATTACAGAAGTGCTTCAAAGTTCATCGTCTGGGTACCTTGCAAAACCCACCACCCCTATAAAATTGTAAAAACTCCCCTTGAGGGGTGGGTATGGTTATAGGGAGGGATGAAGTGTCACCCTAAGGGTATGTAATGAGGGTTGGGTTGTTAAAAAGTGCAGGTATTTTCAATGTGGTGGTGGGTTTGGTAAGGCACCCGATGGCTGGTTTTGAAACATAAGTGTGTGCGAGCTTCCTGAGTATAAGTGAAACATAGGACTGAAAAATGCACGTGAGTGTAGCATATTGCTTCCTCTACTCCATCTTATATGCCCATCTAAACTACTACGTATTTATGTAGTCATCCTAACTCTATTTTATCCTTTTATTTTCTATATCAAATTATTTTTCATGTTCAAATTTGTCTTACTGCTGTAGTTTAACAGAACTTTCAGTGCAGGTTTTAGACATGTAAATTTCAATTAGCAATATTAAATTAAATGCACTCGAGCTTTGTCATCTGAAATAACCTCTATAATTTGAACACGGTACAATCTAGAGCTTGTATCTGTTAATAACTGGCCAAAGCTAGGAAGAAGATCTATAATAGGAATAGAGGTTATTCTTTTATAAAGCATTTTTTTTAAACATAGTACATGTTTTACTGTATTGGTTATTTACTGGGAATGACATGAAGAAAAACATGCATTAATTTCAGGTATTGATGGCCACGAATCGTATAGATATTCTGGACCAAGCGCTGCTCAGACCAGGAAGAATTGACCGAAAAATTGAATTTCCCAATCCCAATGAAGAGGTATGATGAGCCTTCTTGATCTGTTGCTTGCACTTTATCCTCATTAAAAATTGCGCGGACTGGCCTTCTACTCGGGATCTTGAATTTCATGCTTCCATAGTGTACATCTTTTCCTTCCTCATTCAACTACTAAAGGGGGAATATTGACAATGTTGATTTTATTAGTCTCGCTGGGATATCTTGAAGATTCATTCAAGGAAAATGAACTTGACGCGCGGGATTGACTTAAAGAAGATAGCAGAAAAGTTGAATGGTGCTTCGGGGGCTGAACTTAAGGTGAGTTAGAATGGGTGGTTTAATGTTCTGCTGCGTGTTTGCTGGATGGACTGACATAGCAAGTTAACGGCCTCATTATTTATTTTAAAAAGAAAACAATTTTTCACCCATGTATGTGTATATGCCTGCAGGCTGTTTGTACTGAAGCTGGGATGTTTGCTCTGAGGGAGAGAAGAGTCCACGTGACACAAGAAGATTTTGAGATGGCAGTTGCCAAGGTTATGAAGAAGGATACCGAGAAGAACATGTCCTTGCGCAAGCTTTGGAAGTAAATATATATATATATATACACACACACACACACACACACACACACACTAATATATACTACTACTATTTACTACGCAGTAGTATGTATCATGCCTCCACTATTCTCATCTTTAGTTCTTCGGATATTACTTTCCCTTTAGGCTATGCAGTAAGAGTGTGAGCTTATTCTGTTTTCTTGTATCAAAACTTGTTTCGGATTTGCCCATTTTAGATGCGTTTTTACAGAATTTACACTGATGGCGTAGTATTATCTTTGGAGTTTCTCGACTTCTCAACTATTCAAGTTCACCGAAAACCAAGTTGTCATCGGTCTAATGTGTGGTTGAGGTTGGGGTTTAAAAGACATTTTTGAGAAGTTCTCTGTGGAATTTGGCTGTCATAGGTCTGTTGTTTCATGTTTACTTTTGGATACTACTACCTATGAAGTGCTTGCTGGTAAGGGTTTTATTTTCTAGAATCCACCCGTAGTAATAATACACTAATACAGAGTAAATCCCAATTTCCAAATAAGTTACTAATCTATTACGTTTCCCATGTGTTGCAAGATTGGTGATTCTTTTGGACGTTTGGTAAATGACTTGTCGGCCTTCTTTGGCTAATCTGACCATATTTAGTTGATTTGACTAATTGACCTGTGAAATTTGATGTTTGGTAAAAACATCTTTTTAATTCCAAAAGCAAAGTTCTAACATTTTATATTTTCTTTTTGTCCTTTTTCTTTGTTTTCCCTTTCAAATAATTTAAGTTATTGTTATTTTTTTTGACAAAATAATTTAAGTTATTATAGTTATAGCTATATAATTTAAAAGACGATTATTAAATTACTTTGGAAAATAAACAAGCACACAAACAAATAAACTAATAAATAAATCTAATTTACATAAGTAAATAATTTTTTTAAAACAATTATTTGTATTTAAATATTGATATTGCTAAAATCTAAATATGTGACCATATCCCCTTCAATACACACAACATAGTGAATGATATCTTAAATGACATATGCCCCACAAACTAAGTAGTACTCTGTAATAAAAATTTGTAATGGGAGAACTATCAAATAAGCACTCGAACTTTCATAAAAAGTGCAAATAAGCCCTTTTACAAGAGGCTTTGTCTAGCTGTCGCCATTTGAGACGTTTTCCGGTGAAATTTTTTGATGAAATTTTGTTAGCATCTTCTTCATTAAGTCTAGTTTATTCATATCAAATTTTAGCTAAAAATTCAATCGAGAAGACCGTCAAATGATTTTCTGAAATATACTGTGCTGCCTAACTGTGCAGTTATCTTCAAAAATTCATTTGACTGCCTTCCCGATTGAATAATTAGCTGAAATTTGGTATGAGTAAACTAGACTTAATGAAGACAATGCTCAAAGAATTTCATCAAATAATTCCATCGGAAACCTTCCCAAATGGCGACGGCCGGACAAAGCCTCCTATAAAAGGGCTTATTTGCACTTTTTAGTAAAGTTTGAGGCCTTATTTGATAGTTCTCCCTAAAAATTTCATAAGAGTTTGATAACTTCTTACATTTTAATGTGTAATTTTGATATTTTAACAACTAATCACAAACATTTAATTTTACCCAACACTTGACTTATAGGGAAAGTGAACCCAATCCGCTAGTTAAAATAGCTAAAAAATCAACCGGTCAAAATCGTCAATTCGACTAACTAACAATTGATTTTTTTTTTATGAAAAGCCGTCTTCTCATTAAATAGGCTTAGAATACATATATAAAATTAGTGGGCGTAGAGGTTCATCCAGATTCTTAACTTAAGGACTTAACCTCTAACGTTCAATTTAATCATGAAGCATAGTTAGATTACATGAAAATACAAAGGAAATGTTATCTAAAACCATAGTTAGTTAAATACGGTACGGGAATTAAACGTGATTTAATACGTACGTGTTTTATTCGGTAACTTGTACAAAAATACGGTCAAAAAATCGGCAAAAAATACGTTGACTTTTATAAAACGTGTAAATATGTATACATGTATAATACGGCATCTCTTACAAAAATTCGGGTTAAAATACGGGTCTTGTTTTGAATGATTAAATTATTGTGCTAGTTTTTAGAGCATAAAAAACGTATAGTACATAAAGGATAATCAACATACACACACATTCAAATATAATATATTAATATCTCATTACTCAATCAAAAAATGCATTCATAATAACATAAGTTCATGACAAAAAAAATGATCAAGTCCAAAATAACATTTAAAGTATATACTTCATAAAATGACATATAATAAAAAGAAATAAGAGTGTACACATATTGAAGTGGCAGATCACACTACTACATAAAAGAATAATTCGTAATTGCATAAGTCGATGACAAAAGTAAAAGTAGTACGGAGTAATTAAGTCCAAAACATAATTTTGCAAAGTAATGTAAGAAAATAAGGCATAATAACGATAGGATGAGGCTAAGTTAACATCATCATCATCATCTTTATATGATCATCAAATAACACTCAAGTTAAACTTATCATTTTCACCTGGATGACGGATGACATGAGAAAGTTGTGTGACTGCTATACTAACAATTGTTTGTGTAAAAGTTTATACTAAAAATGTCAGTTTAGAAAAACCTTAATTTTGATATACTTGTTTGGAAAAGAACATCACAAATCTAATACTTCGTATGTAGTAGTATTTTAGATTTTAGTCTTTTAGGATGCTAGCTTTAGTCATCATGCAATTAATTTTAGTATTTAATAATTGTATATTTTGTATTGTAACAATACAAAAACACGGGGTCACGGGGATGAGGTTTTCTTTTTTGCTTTTAAACTATTGTTGATCTACTATTCATTTGATGTATTCATTCAAGTAATCAAATGATGTTTTTATTTTTTGTAAAATACGAGAAATATACGTTTTATACGGGAAGTGGAAGTTTTTTTCCTTTTTAAACGGACCAACATTATTTTTCGTTTTAAACGCGTTTTTTTGTTCAAAAAAACGGTACGTGTTTAAAACGCGTTTCAAATGCAAAAAAGCTAACTAGGTCTAAAACATCAATGGTTGGAAGAAATGAGCTCTTACAACCTGAAAAACAAAGAACAAACATAAAGTTTAGAAAAATGATCTTTGATAGTCTATTCATGATTCTAGATGAGGAGAGATTTCCGAGCCATACACTCCAAATATATTCATTTCAACTCTAGAATATCTTATTCGTCGTGTTGTTTTCAACATAATCAAACCCGACCGGCTCCGTTTTGGGCATGTGACCGACGCCATTTGCTCCCTGACTTTATCTCATAACTACTATTTCCACTCGTGCGTTGCACGGGAGTGTACTACTTACATACGAAAATATAAGTGGCAAAACAACTTTTGATGTAAAGATTATATTGCTGAGTGCACCAAGAAACACCAAATATTATTATAAGCATTGATATTTGTAATGTTTAATGCAAAATTGATTGGTTATCTGTTAGGAAATTAATGTAACGTACCTCGAAAGTACAGCAGCGGAAGTTTAAAATTTTTCCCAAACAGATCTTTCATGATTATGACAAAACAACGAATATGACAATAATAACAGATCTGAGTTAGAACTTACAGATCTTCCAGCCCAGCGGTGATAATTCTTGACCTTAGGTATCCACGTGATTTCTCCTCTCCGAAAGAACTGTTAGATCTCCCTAAGAGAAAGGCTAGGAAATCTCTTTGCGGGGAAATAAACTGATAATACTGAATCTAAAAACTGGTCTATGAATTATGAAGGAGGAGGATGTATTTATACTAGTTCTAAACTAGTTTCCCAATCACAATGAAAGTCTTTCTAATTAATGAGTTCTAGACTAACTATAACCAATACCATTTATTAACAAATAAAGATATAATAATAATAAATAATAATAATAAACCATCCGTACATAGCAAAGAGGATGGGGGCAGCCACCACCCTCATTCTCTTAATACATTTTGTTATTATTATTTATTTAATCTTTTCTGGAATACTCTTTAATTCTAAATTGGATCCAAGAAAATATCAACTTTATTTAATAATAAATACATCTTAATTAAGTATGATAAATCTAATTTATTTGACTTAATTGATTCTATCAAATAGAACTCTCCTTCAACTTCATGAATTAAATATGTCTAATCTAATTAATATTTAATCCATTTTCAGTATTATGAATTAAATATTATTTAATCCAATTAATAATATTTAATTCCTATTAAGAATTCAATCGGAAGGTATAATCACTTTTTGTGTGACCCATAGGGCCTTATATATTAAGCACTAATCAAATTAAGGTCTCAGCGAATCCCTAGACGATTCTCCAGACAAACTTAATATATAAGGACGTTTGCGAGGACTATTCAAACTCCCTGTAATATAGAGCTCATAGTGATACGGTCCTTTCATTCAGCGAACATTCAACTAAGTCTAGAACTTGATATTGTGTCTATTCCAATAAGTCTCTATCTCTCAATCTTTCTAGATGATCCAGAACAGGACCGGCCCGCTACTGTGCGGGCCCGGACCGGCCCAGTGAACCGGTTGGTTGGCCGGTTCGAGCCACCCGGCCCAGTGGGATCTCGGTTCGGGCTCGGGCCCTTCAAAAGGTGAACCGGCCCAGCCGGTTCGGGCCCGGGCCGGGCCAATTTTTTTTTGAGTTTTTGAATTTTATTTTAAGTTTTTGGGTTGGGCTGGGTATTTTGGGCCATTTGAGGTGGTTAGGGTTAGTTTGGGGGTGAGGGGGGGTTGGGGGTTAACTAGGAAAAGCCAAAAAAAAATAGAACCGAGGCCCGGCCCGGACTCGGGGGTTACCCGGGCCAGTTCCGGGCCTCCCATACCTTGAACCGAGGCCCGGCCGGTTCAAGGCCCGAACCGGGCCCGGCCCGAGTCCATCCCTAACTATACGGAAAAGAAGTCTTAAGCATTGAATTTTCTGCTGAACTTTTTAATTTCGATTAAATAGTCCTTAAATTGCATAAATTCTTTAACTACACAACCAAAACGGCAAGGGAGTAATGATTTCCTTTACAATTCGCTTTATAAATTTAAAATAATTCGCTTTAATGATTTGAATTGGGGTTGCATCAACTATTCAACTCGTTTAAAAGAAAAAAAGGGCACACGTACCCAAATTTCTCGTGCATGCTTCGTTATTCATACATGAGACTAAAAACAATTTTCAAAGCATTTAACTGTCAAAAGTAGAGATATCAAAATGCAATGCAATTACATTGTCCGAACCGAGAGGTAAATGACAAAAAAAGAGGAATAAAATAATATTAATGATGCATCGACAACTACAAAGCTATTATAATTCAGTAAACATTAATCACTCATCAGAACTAAAAGTACCTCCAAACACGCACTTTATTTTAAGATGATAAATTGCAATTTAAGGTTTGTTTCATCTGACATTATATAAGAGAGTCAAAAGGGTTGAATGTGAATCACGCATGACAATCAGCACTCAATTTCTCCCTATCCTGAATGACAAATAGAGAAACATTTTGAAACTCAAACAAAAAACTACACAAACATTAAGATCAATAAGAAATATTCACTCGTGTATCTTCTTCGGAGAGAGTACTCCATTCATAAAAACACAATCATAATGAACCCAAAACATGCTATCTAATCAGCTAGTGTATTAAGAACTTAAAATTCACAAATTGTGTTAATGAGATCAGAATAATCAAATAATCAGCCAAATCCCACGCTTCATTTGCAAGTATGGAAGCTCAGACGTGTTATCCCACAATATAAAAATTTTCAGAATACTCATAATGCAAAATTTATAAGCATGTCTCATACCCTTGTGTATAACTTTTTTGTCAGTATAATATGAGATGAAATTGTTGAATGTGGTGTAGTCTAAATAAGATCTTTGATTGCATACCTCGTAGCTATAACAGGATATCCTCTTGGCACTTAAAAGTACTCAATTGATATTTCTTTGTATTCTAAAAAAACTTTGAAGTTTTTAGCAAGGAGTACTCCGTATAATACAACTACTATTAAGACAAAAACCAGTAGAGGCCAGATTGATTGGTTTTTTTACTTATATGATACTTGTTTTAATATAGGGGCTTAAGTGATGAATTGAAAATAATAGAATGTTCTATTTAACCTTTTTCTCAATTTAACCTATTAAATGGGGACAAATTTAAAAGCTATATAACTTTATTTGATAGACAAAGGTTTAAGTAGAACTTGATTCATCACCCACACCCCCTCCCCATCCCCAATATTGTAACTGGTGCAATAGCAATTCAATGCTACTATTCTTTGAGATAGAAATATCAATTCAATGCTACTATTCAAGCTAGTGTAGAAAGGTTTGTTTCCAAAGCTGCAATTTTTAAATTCAATCCGTGGTCGGGAGGTGGGTTGGTGCAGCTGTACTTCTGTAGATTATGGAAGAAGCTATTCTCCCCTCAATAGGGTAAAAATGTTATTATCCTGAGGCCCTTCCAGAAAAGTATGACCCTTCATCGGTTTAACAAAAACTGAGTCCAAAAAGGGCCATTAGTCCATCAGTGCAACAACCCTCGATTGCTTGCTGCCACAAATCATCCTGGGGATGGCAGCTCAATCTAAACATGGATGCCACGAATCATGCTGGATTTGTTTTTTTGGAATCCATGTTAGTTCCACATTTGATTAAACAACTTCAGTTTTAAGAGTATAGAACACGTATCAATAATTTAGAGCTACATTGTCTAGAATCTAATCTGAAGCTAAGATGTCAAACTATAATGTCCACAATCATAAATTCTAAAAAACAAATCCAGCATCCTAAACAACTCAGTGTGTACAACTTTAAATAAATATATTAAAATGTTGATGCATATATTCACCTTCTTCGTCAACTTATGGAGAAGTATAGAGATGCTCATAAGGATCTGCATTTGGTGTTCATTGACTTAGAAAAGGCATATGATAGGGTACCTCGAGAAGTTCTTTGGTGGGCCTTAACTAGGAAAGGGCATATCACGCAAGTATATCAGCATCATCATGGATATGTATGAGGATTGTACTACAAGTGTTCGTACTAGTGTAGGGAGGACTGAAGAGTTCCCTATTACTATCGGAGTGCACCAAGGATCGGCCTTGAGTCCTTTCTTATTTGCCATAGTCATGGATGAACTTACGAAGTCAATTCAAGATGATATACCATGGTGCATGATGTTTGCCGACGATATTGTATTGATTGATGAGACGCAATCAGGTCTTAAAGCAAAGTTGGAAGTATGGCGACAAACATTGGAGAATAAGGGTTTCAAACTAAATCGGAGCAAGACAGAGTACATGGAGTGCAAGTTTGGTGGAGGTAGAAGTAGTGGTAATAGCGGAATTACTCTGGATGGTAAGGAGATACCAGTCAGCGATATGTTCCGTTACTTGAGCTCCATAATTCAGAAGGACGGTGAGTTAGAGGGAGATGTATCCCATAGAATCAGAACAGGGTGGATGAAGTGGAAGAGTGCGTCAGGATTTCTATGTGACCGAGGTATGCCGACTAGACTGAAGGGTAAATTTTATAGGACAACAATTAGGCCTGCATTACTGTATGGAGTAGAGTGTTGGGCGGTGAAACAATGTCACATTCAAAAGATGAGTGTGGCAGAGATGCGCATGCTGCGTTGGATGTGTGGGCATACTAGGAAGGACCGCGTGAGGAATGAGACAATCAGACAAAGGGTGGGAGTAGCACCTATTGAAGACAAGATGCGGGAGTCGCGCCTACGGTGGTTTGGTCATGTGCGTAGAAGACCGAGTGATGCACCTGTTAGGCGAGTTGAGATGTGTGGAGAAGAGGCAGGGAAGAGAGGGAGAGGAAGACCCAAACAGACGTGGGTTAGGGGAGTTCGAAGTGATATGCTTCTTCTGGGGTTGGATGAGGGCATACTTTGGAGAGAACTAAGTGGAGGGCGGGTATTCACGTGAAGGAGTGATCTTGATAATCTTTTTCCCTCATTTTTTTTTCCTAGTTTTTTTATCCTTATATATATATGCATTATTTGCAGCCTTTTTATTTTATCACTTTTATATATATTCATCTTTTTTATATTATCTTTTTCATAATAGCTTATCTTTTTATCTTTTTTCCTTCTTTTCCTTTTGGTTGTGATATCATGTATCGATTCATGTTAGCCGACCCCAATATCTTTTGGGACTAAGGCTTGGATGTTGTTGTATAGCATATAAATGCAAACATGAGGATACATATAGAATGGCTGTACTCACCATTATAAATGAGGAAATGTAGTTGAATCCGATATGGAATCAACTCTGATGTCCACGAACAACATCCAGGCTGAGTGGTTTTGACGAAAGCATCTAAGCTCTCGAAGGTGGATGTAAAATGCACAAAAGCAATAATCTATTCAGAAATTATTCATTGCATACTTACGTTTTAAACCACTAATTCTGAAACACCCTTTCACATTGATGTCATAGTAGGATTCATGTTATACTTCTTTTAAGGGTGTTTCTTTTTAAACATACATAAAAAATGCTCCAAGCTAAATTTCAAGATAAATTACCCCCTCCAATTGATATTGTAGCAGTACCATTATTTGACAACTACAGTAATCAAAGTAAGAAAATAAAAAAAATCAAAGAATTCAAACAAACTTCAGCTAAAGAAAATGCAGAGTTAGGATAACTTTCAGAATTATTTTTGCTATACTATCATTATCATCTAGCATGCTAAAATACTATATTTGATTTACCATCACAACGCCTGATTAAAAAAAAATGCAGAGTTAGGATAACTTTTATTTTTAAAAGTTTGGTTTTTCACTTTTACAACGCCTGACTTCGTGAAACAAAAATAAAAAGTTAAAAACTTTTAAAATAAAGAAAAAAAAGCAAGGAGAAAAGAATAAAAATGAATCTGGAGACTTAACAGGTTCATGTGATAAAATGGTTTGATAAAAGAAACTTAATCAAACTAAATCAAATCAAAGATGTTAAAAAGTAAAATAACATTGAAATTCACGTTTGAAGAAAATCAACAATAAAATGAATCAGTAAACTTACCAGGTAATGTGAAATGATCCTTTCTCCTTCGATTCACGAAGTTGGACGATTTCCTCCGAATAGATTGAATAGATTTAGGTGTTGTCCTGTAGTTTGAAGAAGGGGAGGCAATGAAGAAGAGATGCTTAGGTACTGGTTCTTTGCATGGGGTAAGTTTAAATCTTGTTCTGTTGGGACTATTAACAGAATAGGAATATGCTATTTATGAAGATCAACCCTTGAACTTAATTCGGGATAATATATATACATGCTGCTATAAACCACATTTAGATAGCGCGTGCAAACTCTCTTCACCCATGTTTGTGTGCTACCTACATTAGTTTCTATTTTGATCGTTTCTTTTACCCCTAGTCATTTTGTTAATCAAATGGTAGACACAGTCCCACAGAATAAATGGATTTGAAAAATCAAAAGTGCAATTGAACAAAAAAAATTGAACCAAGAAAGATTTAAAGACCACAATATATTATATACTACTTTATGAGCAAAAACAGAAAACAAACTATTAAGACAAAAATATTTCATCATCATCTAGCATGCTAAAATACTATATTTGATTTATCATCACAATGCTATTTTAAAAATCAAAGAAAAATCACAATCATTTCTTCAAACATGATATTTTCCAAACATAAGACCAAATTTGAAACAACTCTATTAAGTAAAGAATAAGATAAGTGTAAATAGATTAGCATCTTTAATAATCTTTTTTAAAACAGCAAACAAACGAATAAGACAAAAAATACTTCATTATCATCTAGCATGCTAATATACTACTACGTATATTTGATTTACCATCACAATGATATTTAAAATATCAGATAATTTCATTTAAGCATTTCTTCAAACATGATATATGCAAAACATAAGACCAAATATACAGAGATATATAGAGAACTCGATCGAACCAGTTTGGAGGGTGTGAAAGTAACCAGTTTCTTCTCCTTGGCACGGGAGCTTGACCATAAACTTGGCGTCAAATGTGTTCGTGGCGCCGGTGAATATTGTGGGGGTGACATTCCATTCTGGCAATTAACCGTTAAAAGTAGAGATATCAAAATGCAATGCAATTACATTGTCCGAACCGAGAGGTAAATGACAAAAAAAAGAGGAATAAAATAATATTAATGATGCATCGACAACTACAAAGCTATTATAATTCAGTAAACATTAATCACTCATCAGAACTAAAAGTACCTCCAAACACGCACTTTATTTTAAGATGATAAATTGCAATTTTAGTTTTGTTTCATCTGACATTATATAAGAGAGTCAAAAGGCTTGAATGTGAATCACGCATGACAATCAGCACTCAATTTCTCCCTATCCTGAATGACAAATAGAGAAACATTTTGAAACTGATAGGAACCCACTTATTAGACTAGTAATAGTAGTGATAATAATAATAGTAGTAATGAAGGTCTGGGAGTACTCTAGGTCTCTAGTATAAATAGATGAGAAGGGGGAGTTAGTGGGGAGGCTGTTATGACGGAAGTTGTCAGGACTGGGAAGTTAGAGATTTATTGTCTCTTTCTTTTGGGGGTTTCGGCCTTGGTTGCTTGATCATCTCAATAAATTTGTTGGTTATTTCCTCATCATTCTCTTCTATTCTTTCTGTGATCTGGTTGTGTTCTATCAGTGGTATCAATGCACGTTGATCGTTGGGTGATCTCTACGTGCGCTAGGATGGAAAACGATTGAACGAACTGGAGAGAAATCAACGGGAATTAGTTGCAGCTAAGGTAGCTATGGCGGCGAGTATAGCAGAGATACGAGCTACGCTAGCGACCTTGGTGGAGCGAGGTAAACGTCGATCGGGAAGCAGATCGCATACGTCGGACTTTGCGCATCATTCTTCGCATCGCAAATCGTTCCCCAGTTCGCATACTGAGTCGCGAACTAACATGCGACGAACTCCAGCTGCTAGAGAGAAGTCTTTGCACTCTCGAGGTAATCCACATAATCCGTCGGTCTCTTCTCAGTCGCTAGTAGCATCTTACAGTTTCAGTTCACAATCGCTACTAGTTCCTCACCTTGCGTCAGCGTCATCCGCTTCCAGAACCTTCGACCTAGTCGCATCAGGAAAGGGACCCCAGGGGACTCTACCAACAACAAGGGACACCAAATTAAAGCGGGTTGCACCATCAGCTCGGGAATCAGACCCTGAAGAGGATGTTAGTCAACCTACAGACATGGGACAGGCCGTTTATTTGTGTAGGGGAGTTATGAAACCTCCAGAGTTTGCTGTTAAGGATGAACCTCTTGGTTATTTTGATGTTGGAATGATGATAGAGTTGAACAAGATCAATCACTATGAAAAGATCATGGCGGCAGCAAATAACGATTCGGAAAACATGGATAAGAGAGAGATAACCGAATTCATATCAGTCAAAATCAATGCTGAAACTGACTTTGTAATATTAATTGGAAATGCCTTGGGGTGGCAAGCCTATGTGCAGGGTGTACAAGCGGGACCAGTTGAGAAAGATGCTAGTGGAAGGCTATGGTCGAAAAGGGAAATTGATTAGACCACTAAGTGCTGGACTTCAGGGATGAACAGTTGCAAGAGGCTTACAGATATTCTTGAAAATAGTTGGGCGTACGCTACCCGAGTGCCTGCTCTTACTCCACCTCAGGATATGCTTTCTGGTGAGCCTAGCGTTGTAGGGAGTGCTACTGCCCTGCTGAAGGATGTTGTTACTAGGAATCCCCAGACAATGATAAAACACTACAGGACTGAGCTTTCAATTGCTCAGCTTCTCTCAGTCATTCAGGCCTATCAAGTTTGGGTTTGGGGAAATATTGCTGGTGAAGCCACAACCTGGATTTTGTCAAACTGCTATAGATGCAAGCCACCAACACCATTTGACCTGGTCAAAGCTACATTGTCCTTTCTTCAACAAGTAATCCATTTGAATGGTGAACAAGTTAGGAAAGATGACTGTTGGTCACTTTTATATCTATCGTATGGATGTGAAGAACTAAACAAGCCGGAAAATATCCAAACTCATGACAATAATGGGATGCTTGAAGAAGCTGTGAGAATATTAGAGAAATATGGGGCTAAGCAAGTGACGATGAAGGTTCAAGTAATGAAGCTCCTATTCCAGAAATCAGTGAGCGTGAAATTTCACTCAAGAAATAGGATGAAGTCAGAGGCACATGTTATACTCAGGCTGGACAAAAGTTCTTCATCTAGAGGACTAGAAGTATGGGAACATCTGATACCGCAACCAGCGAAGTACTGGGAGGAGAGAGGCACCAGGAGGAAGCTGAATTCCAAGCTAGGTTCCTATCTCCCCACCTTGAGGACAAGGTGGTTGTTTAGGGAGGGAGTATTGATAGGAACCCACTTATTAGACTAGTAAAAGTAGTGATAATAATAATAGTAGTAATGAAGGTCTGGGAGTACTCTAGGTCTCTAGTATAAATAGATGAGAAGGGGGGGTTAGTGGGGAGGCTGTTATGACGGAAGTTGTCAGGACTGGGAAGTTAGAGATTTATTGTCTCTTTCTTTTGGGGGTTTCGGCCTTGGTTGCTTGATCATCTCAATAAATTTGTTGGTTATTTCCTCATCATTCTCTTCTATTCTTTCTGTGATCTGGTTGTGTTCGATCAGAAACTCAAAGAAAAACTACACAAACATTAAGATCAATAAGAAATATTCACTCATGCATCTGCTTCAGAGAGAGTACTGCATTCATAAAAACACAACCATAATGACCCCAAAACATGTTATTTAAAAAATCAAAGAATTTCATTCAAGCATTTCTTCAAACATGAATTTTCCATCATTTGCAATGGAGCCAAAGATTCATTTTTTTGGCTTGAGATTATGATGGAATAAAGCAAAATGGCTCACTAAACTGTCTGCGCTTCTTTGTTATGGAGCAGCAGTCAGTCCATGCAATTTTAGACGCAATTTTCACTATGGGTCATCCGGAAACAGTCTCTCTGTGCTTTAGTACAGGGGTAAGACTGCGTACATCCGACCCCCCCTTACCCCACCGTAGGTGGGAGCCTTTGCGGCACTGGAGTAAATGAAAATGAATTTCTTCAAACATGAAATATGCAATTAATGAATTTCATTCAAGCATTTCATTCAAGGGATCTGACCTCTGAATGAAAATGAACAAACAAATTTCATTATGTCACTGTCGGAAGAAGTACTAATGGAGATAAATTGGTATTGACTTCTTTGCAACAACTCTTTACTGTCATTCTTCAAGATGAGCACAAATATTCTGGGAAGTGGCTGCACCAAGTCTACACAATCATAATCATCACCATCAACTAAATCCAATTTTTTAGGTTTTATATAAAGTTGCTATAATAAATAGCTTGGTTCTGACTAAAACATTAAATTGGAAGAACAAATGAAAAGTATAATCTGAAATGTGAAATGTGCAATAGCACTAACCTTGAATACATATTTTTGGGCTCAATTAGAGGCTATGTGAATTTTTTTAAAGAGGCAATGTGAATTCTAAGGTGTCCTTAATACATGAGTCAAAACTAAAAAACATGTATTCTTAGAAGGCTGCACGTAAATTACGATTATCATTTTAAAAACTGCAAAAAAACTAACTTTAATTAGAATAATAGAATTAGAATAAGTTTTAAACTTAATGATGGAATGATAGCATGAGGTAAAGTTGTTCTCTAAAGTATTGATTTAAAATAAAAAATCTGTAATAAGTGTCTTTATTCACATATGCCCTTTCAAGGTGAAGAAGAGTAAGAAAAGTTAAGCTTACTACATCCAATTGAATAGTCTGCCCTTTTCTCTCTTGCATAATGCAACACGTATTCCATCTAAAGTTTTGATAAAACAAAACAAACCAACTGACGTTTGTAAAATTTCCTAGATACGAAAATCAAAACACTGATCTTCATTAAACCTTCTACTTTTTGTTTTTTGTTTTGGTTTTTGGTCATCTCCACTTTTCTCTTGTATTCATTATGAGAAATAAAATAAAGCTTTTGACCAAGCACATAAGAACAAAAGGTAAAATAAATTTATTATCTTTGTTATTATTATTTTGTTTCCATCATTTGCAATGGAGCCAAAGATTCATTATTTTTTGGCTTGAGATTATGATGGAATAAAGCAAAATGACTCACTAAACTGTCTGCGCTTCTTTGTTATGGAGCAGCAGTCAATCCATGCAATTTTGGACGCGATTTTCACTATGGGTCATCCGGAAACAGTCTCTTTGTGCTTTAGTACCGGGGTAAGACTGCGTACATCCGACCCCCCTTTACCCCACCATAGGTGGGAGCCTTTGCGGCACTGGGGTAAATGAAAATGATGAATGAAAATGATGTTAGTATTATTTTGTTTTGAAAATTTAGCCCAAGAGAAAATATAAGTTTTAGTTACAGACATAAAAAGCTACAAATTTGATCTACTTAACATTCCCCTCTTTTAAAAATTTTAGTTCGAAAATAGATCAATTAAAAGGAAATAAAATGTTTTTATCTCTACGTTTACAATGTTGTACGACACAAGTTAAGATGAGAAGAAGAAAAAGAGTACAGATTTTCTTCTTACCTTTTTGTGGTTGAAATCTAAGCCCATTAAGTTAAGAAAAAACTGAACATTAAATTTGCAATTTTAGTTCTTCTTGCTGTCATAGTGCCAAAAAATAGCCCATAAACAAAGAGAAGAATAGAGTGTGGAAATTGTATTTTTCTCTTAGGGTATCATTGTGGTTCAAAATCTGAAAGATGACTACATTTCTATTGATTGTGGAAGTCAAGTTATTTAACAAATTCGAACATGGTAGTACTTCACAAACCTAGAAAACGATCATTTGGTTAGGATCTTTTGTCAGTAAGCTATGTTGTTTTGCAAAGGGATTACGACATAAAACGGTGATGCTATCACCTTAGTTGCCCCTTTAGCTCCAAGCCTCCAAGCATTTGGTTAGAATCTTCAACTATGTTGTTTTACAAAGGGATTATGACATAAAATAGCGATGCTATGATGCACTCTTTTTATTGAATTCACATTTTGAAATTGTTGCCAAGCTTAACTCGAGAGGCATGTGTTCATATTTTACATAATATTAAACATTAAAGTAAGCATTGAGAAACTTAATGCGAAGAACGAAGACCTGATGCATAGATCCCAAAGAGCTGATGCTAGGGCCTAGGGGATACTCATATGAATATGCATACTATTTGGAATATGTGTACTTAACACATGTTTACAATAAACTTGGAAATGATGCTTAGTATAGAATAATAAATGAAGTTAAGAACAACCTAACCTTAGTAGATACTTAAAACATAATATGAAGTTAAGACCTACCTAAACTTAGTGCCATAGAAACAGGTTCCCGAACTTTGGCATAAAACTTAATAAAGTTAAAATGGACTAACAAATTAAGAGCCTGGTTGGATGACTTAAGTGTTATTAAAAAATTAAAGAGCTCCAACTGATTGATTATTGAATAAGCATAGTTTTAAGAAGATAAACATACACTTCATGCTAGATAAACATTACACTCCTTGCTATTTTTTTTTTTTGAAAATACCATATAAACATTTTATTGAACATCACACGTGCAAAAAATAATCTGGGCATATGACTCCTATGCTAGCACATTCAATCTCAATATCATGCAAGAATGATAAAATTGGAAATGTGAAATATAAAAAAATGAACATAGGATAGTAAAGTTTCGGTGCTTACCACAAAAATGTAAAAGAGGGGAAGATCATATTTAGAAACCACCCTTGAAAATACTCCATATAAGAATATAAATTGAACGATTTCTATTCACAGATACAAATGAATTGAGCATATATAAGATAATAAGAATATAAATTGAATATAAGAATGATTTTCAATTGAATCGGGTATTGAGAGACTGATTCTGACCGGAGCCAATGGGAATCCGCAGCTTGAGCATCGACAGTCAGTGTCGGTGCCTTGTCAAGCATTTCTTCAAACATGAAATATGCAATTAATGAATTTCATTCAAGCATTTCATTCAAGCTATTTAAAGTAAGGATTTGGAAGAGTGAAGCGATCCACGAAAATCTTATGAAAAATTAGGTGAAGAAGAAGAGAGGATAATGCGGCAAAGAGAAATGGCGAGCTTCGCAATGGTGAGCGGAAATTACATTTTAGGCCCTAGCGTAGAAGAGAAATGGCGAGCTTCGCCATGTAGTGTCTTTTAGTATATAAACAATAAAGATGATAAAGATATGACTGGCTTCGGTTAGGTGGTGGGACCAGTGCCGATTTTCTCTTGGCCGGACATTTTTCGCCTATATAACTATCTAGCGTCTGTTAGGTGGTGGATCTGGCGCCGGTTCATTCCTAAATTGCAATTACATAGTTTCGGCCTTTCGGGTGTATTTTGACTTCGATAGTATTCTCTTGTTCCTTACTTCCACTATGATTAACCCAACTTCGATATATATATTTATTCTTCCAAACAAAATAAAATAAGAGCATTAACAAAATAAATAAATATAGTAATTTATAACAAACTCATGCATCCTTATTTAAAGTGAAATCGGGGGTGGGGGAGGGGGAACAGGGTGACCGTCCTAGGACCGAAAAAAGTAGAAGAGAAAACAGACCCATAATTTTTTCTATATATATAGTGTGAGTATGATTATTTTTTTATTCTAGTTCAATTAATTAGGTCTAATGTTTAATTTTGTTGACAATTTGAAAATTTAAAACATAAATAAAAAGTCTTACACAGAGCCAAGTTAAAAAACAGAATATATACATTAATTTTAAGTAGAATCGGTTGTAGTTTTTAAAAGCAATACAATTGTCGCGGGATAACTAAAAGATATGCCTCTTAGCCTTTAAGACTTTTTATTCATTTTTTAATTATAGCATAACAAATCTATATAATTTTTTTGGTGAAATGTAAATATATATATATATATATAGTAACCAAAGTTTATGTACATCATGCGGACAAAAATAGAGGCATATCCAAGTATGTATACCCTATAACATCAAATGTTATCTGAGCATAACCTCTAGATCAATCAAAACAACCAGTCATCAAGCCGTGACAAAAAGACAATTTATGATATCAAAAAGTAATCATGTGATACGGGTAGAAAGAGTAAAGCACTTTGTACACCATATACTTGATATGTGTAAGCATATCCTCCAATTTTTGGGTTGCTCCATCAAAATGTATTGCATTGCGAGTTCGCCATATCCAATAGATTGTATAGCTAAAAGCTATTCTGGTTGCCTTTGCTCTAATATGCGCCCCTTTGCAATCTCTTTGGATCCACTTGATAGCACTTCTTAAGGATGACATTCGCCTTGATATTCCAAGCCAATCCTTTACATTTTTCCAAAGCTGCCCTGTACAATTACATTCAAAAAACGTGTGTGGTACCGTCTCCGGTTCACTCTTGCAAAAAGGACAAATATTAACAACATCAAGATAAACAAAGTTATCATATGTAGGCAGCCTATTTCGGTAAGCAAGCCACATTATAAACGAGAATTTGGGAGGAATGTAGCCTTGCAAATAAAAGACATCCATGCATTTGATGTAGCTTTAAGTCTAAGGAGCTCATATACCTTTGAGGAGGATAACTTACCATTGTAAGACATCTTACCAATTTGTATGATGGTCTCGGCTATGGATGAGAATTTAGAGACCATTAAGTCTCGGATTTGGGCTAACCTCTTCATCAATTGGGAGTCCTTATTGTGTGGAACAAAAGTCCACACACACCTCCCATGGAGATAGACACTGTGGACCCATCTCACCCAAAGAGTGTCTTGTTTGGAGTGAATGTTCCATAAGGTGCGGGATAATAAAGCGTTATTCCAAACTTTTGTGTCCCTAATTCCTACCCCCCCCCCCCTCTTCTTTTGGTAAGCAAACATCTTCCCAAGCCACTTTCGCATGTCCCCCCCCCCCCCCCCCCAAAGAAATATACGACAAAGGCTAACAATTCTATCCAAAATAGTTTTAGGGACCGGAAATATTCCTAGCCAAAAGGATTGGACACCTTGTACAACTAACTTAATCAACTCAACTTTACCCGCATAAGATAACGACTTAGTATTCCATGCATTCAAATAATCCGTAACCGTATCAATCAATGGAGAGAATTGGGCTACAGAGATCTTTATAGGGGCCAATGGAATACCTAAGTACCTCACCGGGAAAGATCCATGTTGAAAGTCCACCATTTGTAGAATAATTGGTAGTTTGTTCGTTATGTTCCCACGTACAAAGATATTAGATTTGTCCTGGTTGACCATAAGACCAGAAACCCTTCCATAATCATGTAAAGCATCCACCAATATCTTTATAGATTTGGGTTCTCCTTTAGAGAAAAGCATTAGGTCATCAACATATGCCAAATGTGAGATTTTTAGTTTGGAACATAAAGGATGTTGTTGGGTTAATGGCTCACCAAGGCCGGCCCATCAACCCCTAGGGACGAACGTAGCCCAGCATAGCCAGACCCAGGGCCCAAGGGCCAGGGGACGTACGTAGCCCAGCATGGCCAGGCCTTAGGGTCCAAGGGCCAGAGGACGTACGTAGCCCAGTAGGACCAAGCTTCAGGGCTCAAGGGTCAGGGGATGTACGTCCCAGCGTAGCCAGGCCTCAGGGCCCAAGGGCCAGAGGACGTACGTAGCCTCCGGAGGACCAAGCCTCAGGGCCCAAGGGCCAGGGGACGAGCATCGTGTGGACTACGCTCAAGGGCCCAGGCTGCCACCAGAGGGCTAAGTCCAGTTTAGGGGACAGACGTCCCCCACGCTATGGCGGGAAACCAAGATCTTGGCGGGAAGCGCATTAAATGCGAGAGATTTGGTAGTTGGGATCATGTCGCCCACAGTCGGCCATGTCACCCCCCCCAACCACCATGGGATACTATAAATAGTCGCATTTATTTCATTGTAAAGGGTTCGCACTTCGACACTCTAGAATTGTAATAGCATCAACGGCACGTAGCATAGCTCAGTACGTTCGGCCCCTCGGCTTGTAATCGCTAAAGTGAATGAAATACAGTTATTAACCCACTCCTCGTTGTTTAGTGAGCTTATTTTGCTTTCCACCTATTCGAAACCCCCAGGTTACGTGTTGGGCCTGCGGGTTGAGGGGAATAAACCTCAACACTGGCGCCGTCTGTGGGAAACTAATCAAAAAGCCCTTCTAATCAAGCTCTCCATTTAAAAAACTCTAAGACAACCGCAAGACAAATAAAATGAACACTAACAACGCGGGTAACTCTCAAGACCTATCATCACAACTAGCTCACAGCAGGAGGAGCCGTAACCAGGAAACGGGGGCCCAATCCACCAGTCTATGGAGCCGGGGGGATTTCGGGATACTCATCGACCTGATTCCCCAGGAACTCCGTATGGACCCCAACGCACTACGGGATATCGCGGATACTATCCGCCGACTAGCGGACCAGCGGGAGGAAGAGCATGTGTACACTGCCAACACCGAGCGCACCCCGCTCTCGCCCATCCGCCCCATGCAGTCTTTCGCCAAGCATACCGACGAAAATAGCAATCCCCGCCGTTCGGTCCATTCCAGGATAACCCAGAACACCTGCTCTCCGGGTATGGGGGCACCGCGGGAGCCAGGCCCTTCAGGGGAACACAGCGCCACACGGTCCAGGACCCCACGCCGGTCATGCCCCACGATGGAAGGGCGGCTCGGGAACATACCCCCGTGGTGGGTGGCGTGACGGTGGAGGCCCGGGTATACCATGGTCAGCATAATCATGGAATTACACCAAGGGGGAATACCTTGGCATTGATAACCCCCGCGCCCGTTGGGACCGATCCACGAGATGCCATGCTCATGGACATGCAGAGACAGATAAATGAGCTGAATCGACGTACGGAGAACACACAGGCACAGCCCAGGATTGCACTCTCACCCCCTTTCACTGACAGGGTCATGGCGGTAGACATTGCACGGGACGTTCGGCCTCCTGGGACACTAACTTATGACGGGGCCGGGGACCCCAAGGCCCATCTACTATCTTATCAAGGAACGCTCTCTATGTTGGGAGCCTCCGATGAGGCTGTTTGCAGACTCTTCTTCAGCACCCTCTGGGGGCCAGCGCAAGAATGGTTCGGGCAGCTCAGGCCCGGGTCCATCGACAACTTTGAACAATTATCCCGGCAGTTCATGGCTCAGTTCGCATCAAGCTCCACACCCAAGAAACACTTCAGTTGGTTAACGAACGTCCACCAGAATAAGGGAGAATCCATATCTGCTTTCCTGATTAGGTGGAGGAACGAGATCCTGAAGGTGGAGGACCTTCCGGAGAGCACCGACATCACCCTCTTCACCAATGCGTTAGCAACCGGGGACCTCTATCTGCACTTGAAAAGGAACCCCGGGAGCAACTACGCCGAGGTGCTGGCCCGTGCGCACAAGTTCGCTGCAATCGAGGAAGAGGTTTCACAGCAGGATGGGGCAGCGGCCCCCGCAGCGCGTAAGGCATCAGACCGATTAGGTCCCGGGCCGGTGGAATCACCTGCACTCAAGAAGAAGAAGACGATCGGCGGTTACGTCCCATGGGCCGCACAGGAACGCCCGGGGGACGGCCCCCATGTAGACATGGGGCCAGCTCCCTTGGCCTACCCAATCAGTCAAATTTTGGGGCCATCAAGGACAGGGGGCTGCTCATGGAGCCGGTGCCCACCAAGGGGCTCATGATGGGCCGGGACACGGGAGGCTACTGTGAATATCACCGCAAGCAGGGGCACCGTACGGATGATTGCCAAAGTCTGAAGTACGCCATCCATCAGCTTATCGATAGGGGGTATCTGGGTGAGTTCACCACGGGAGGAGCATATCAGGGCTCCTCGCAGCAGCATAGAAGGCCCTACAGCTGGCGCCGGGATGATCGGCGAGAGACCGGGGTCAAGGAGGAGGATTTCCGTCATAACGGCAAGCGGCCAGAGGCGTCTCTCGGGCCGGTCGGCTCCAAGAAGAAAATGGAAATCAAGATGATTTTTGGAGGGGCGGAGACTGGGGATACCCCGGCGGAAAGGAAAAAGTTCGAGAGGGCCCTCCGGGTAAATTCTATCTCCGCACCCCCTACCAAGAAACACAAGGTCTAACCCATCATGTTCGGGACGACAGATCTACCAAGATCACCAGGACCGCACAGGGATGAGCTGGTAGTCAGCATGTATATCCGGGAGTGGATAATCCAGCGAGTCCTGGTCGACACAGGAAGCAGCGTCAATGTCCTCTACTGGGACGTGTTCGAGAAAATGCATCTGAGCAGGGCCGATTTGAGCCCCCTACGGACACCCCTGGTTGGTTTCACCGGCCACAGCATTGATGCAGAAGGAACGATCGTCCTACCAGTAGAAATCGGGGACGACGAACACAGGGCGACGATCCCCA